TGGTGCTGTTGACGGTGGTGATGGTGGGGTTGCTGCTGCTGCTGCTGCTGCTGCTAATGGGGCTGCTGCTGCTGCTGGCGGGGGCTGGGAGGGGCGGGGGGAGGCTGCGAGCGGTGCAGGCGGCTCGAGGCGGCGGCTGCTGCTGCTGTGGCTGCTGCTGCTGCTGCCGTGGCTGCTGCTGCTGCTGCTGCTGTGGCTGCTGCTGCTAGTGCTCGCGAAGGCCCTGGAGCGGAGGCTGGACCCAGAGTTTTAGCTGCTGTTGCTGCGGCTGATGAGCGCTGCTGCTGCTCTCGCTGTTGTTGCTGGAGCTGCTGCTGCTTTCCTTAATGCTGCGGCTGTTCCTGCTGCTGCCGCAGCTGTTGCTGCTGCTGCTGCTGCTGGGTAGCGCCCCTGCCTAGCAGGGCCTCTGGCTGTGCGGCGAGACAGCGCAGCAAAAGCTGCTGCAGCTGCTGCAGTAGAAGTCTGCTGTGCTTTTTAATAGACTTAATCGATTTTAGCGGCAGCAGGAAACCAAAATTCGCAGCAGCAGCAGCAGTAGCAGCAGCAGCGGGGCTGTAGCGAGACGGCGGAGGCCTCCTTGTGTTCGGGCTTCAGCAGCAGCAAAAGCCAACTAAAATATTTATTATTATTCTTGTTTTTAATTCCACTTTTTACTTTTGCCTGTCCCTAGTCTGTCTTTAGCTGCGCAAATATACTCCACGTGGGGCCGGTGCTGGTCAGAAGCAGCAGCAGCACCGAAGCAGCAGCAGCAGCTGCTGCTAAAGCTGCAATATAGATCCTGCCTAATTAAATAAAATTAGTAATAAAAGAGTTCTGAGGTGTATAGGGTGACAGGTTTCCCGAAGAAGAAACTTGAATTATTCGGGTGTATGCAAACTCTGGCAGACCTTCCCTGCTGCTGCGACGATCCAGCGCAGGTGCATTTTATTTATTTATTTTGAAGGAAACATCTTCTAGAATGAATTGCTAGTTATTTCCAGTTGTTTTTTAGCGCTTTCGGCCACTCGTTTCGTCTAACAAATTAAAAACTTGAATTCCCCTAGGCGCGCGCCGCTGCTGCTCCTGATCGGCGACGAGTGCAGCAGCAGCAGCAGCAACTGCTCAGCTCATGCACTCTAAGAGCCTTTTTAAATGCAAATTGAAATTTGATAAATCAATTTTACTTCGTTTTGGTCTTCTTTCCTTTGCTGCTGCTGCAGCCACCGCCCTAGCTGCTCGTTTCGGCCGTCCTGTGCAGACAAGTTCGGGTCAGTCCCGGGAGAAAAGACTATCAATTTATTTATTAAATGAATATATAAATCAATTTAAATAGTTTAAATAACATTTGTAATATTATTACAGTGCTTTTGGACTTGTTTCAAATCAGTATCGCACTGCGCGGCGCACCCCGCAAGCCGCCGCTCAAGCTTCTTCTTCATTCAGCAGAAACAAACACGAGGCAGCAAACCGAGCAGCAGCAGCAGCAGCTTCTGCTGCTGCTGCTGTGTCACATTCTGCAGCAGCAGGAACAGCAGCCAGCGAGCCTAACCTCGTCTGCTGCTGTGTGTGTTTGCCTGCAAAGAAGACAGAACTGAAAAAGTGCAGCGCTGCAGCTGCTGCTGCTGCTACTTGGGGCTGCGGAGGTTGGCCGTGAGCAGCAGTAGCGCTGAGGTGTACGTACAGCTGCTGCAGCTGCTTATATATAGCCTTCAACTGCTCCTCCAGTAAAGATTTGTCTTGCTGCAGCTGCTGGAACAGCTGCTGCTGTTGCTGCTGCTGCAGCAGCTGCTGCTGCTGTAGCTGCTCCAGTTGCTGCAGCGCCACCACAGAGCTGACCCAAACGCACAGCAGCGCGCGAAGTGCACACAAAAAGTGGGGCCGCTGCGTTGGGTGCAGCAGCAGCAGTTGCTGCTGCTGCTGTTGCTGCAGCTGATGCTGCAAAGTGCTGCTGCTGTCCTCGGCGACGTCCCGCACAGGCAGCAGCACATCCTGCAGCAAGCGAAACCAAAGCAGCAGATGTAGCAGCTGCAGCGGCTGCAGCCGCAGAAGTAGCAGGTGCAGAAGCAGCAGCTGCAGAAGCAGCAGCTGCAGAAGCAGCAGCAGCAGCAGCAGCAGCATCAGGAGCAGCAGCAGCAACAGCAGCAGTTACAGCAGCAGCAATATACTTTCTTACCTCCGCATCTCTCTTTATGGGATTAAATGAGTCATTTCTTCTGCTGCTGCCTTCAAAGTCCTCCGCACCCAAAATCCAGCTGCAGGCGATCCGCTGCTGCTCCCTTCTGCTGCAGCTGCTGCAGCACCTGGTGCTGCTGCTGCTGCTGCTGCAGCACCTGGTGCTGCTGCTGCTGCTGCTGCTATGGGGGATGCGCACGACAAGTCGTGCAGCGCTGCTGCTGCTGCGCCTCTGCAGCGAATTGCCCCCAGCGTTGCAGCAAGAGCTGCAGATGTAACGTTTTGGTTAACGTTTATTTCTAATGTCGCTTGTGCTGCTGCTGCTGCTGCTGCTGCATCTGCTGCTGCTTCTGCATCGCAGTCTGCGACACTGTTGCCCTGGCACCTGCCCTGCGGCTGCTGCTGCAGCGGTTGCTGCTCCTGCGGCTGCATTAGCAGCAGCAGCAGCTCGCGAGCAGCCAGCTGAAGGCTGAGAGCCGGGTCTGCGTAGATATTCGTCGGCTCCTCTTCAAACAGCTGCCAAGCAGCAGCAGCAGCAGCAGCAGAAGGTGCAGCAGGACTGTTAGAATGAGCATCAGTATCTGCGTGCTGTTGACTCTGCTGCTGTTGTCGCTGTTGCTGCTGCTGCGGCGGCTGTTGCTGCTGCCGCTGCCCTTCCACTGCGTGCATCCCTGGGTCATCGGGACTGAAGCAACTGCTGCTGCTGCTGCTGCTGCTGCAGCTGCCGCTGCTTCCACCTCTCCTTAGCTGCCTCCAGAGAAATCGGCAGCAAACGCTTGTTGGGAAAGCCTGCAGCAGAAGCAGCAGCGGCGTCTCAGACTGCCCTGCTGAATGAAAGGTGTAGGGTTTAGGGTTTAGCTTTTAGGGTTTAGGGTTTTCACCTTTGTCAGGATCCCCAGCAGCAGCTGATAAAGAGCTCCTGCCTCCAACCCGTGGGGCTCTAAGCTGAAGGCGGGGCTTGCTGCTGCAGCAAGCAGCAGCTCTCGCTCAAACGACCCTACTGCTGCTGCTGCTGTACTCGGAAGACACGAGAGGAGTCCGGCAGCAGCAGACGACGCTGCTGCTGCTGCTTCCTCCCTGACTGCAACATCTTCATCCTGCAGCAGCAGAGACAAGGGATTTCTTACGTTACCGCAGCACGAGCAGCAGAAACAGCAGCAGCAGCAGCAGAAACAGCAGCAGCAGCAGCAGCAGAAAAGACCCTCAAACAGAAAACTCCCGCGTATAGCTCGACAGCTAGCTGCAGGCCCGGCGCGACTAACTAAAGGGAAAAAAACAGCTAGCTGCAGCAACATTGGCAGCTAGCTACAGCTGCAGCAGCATCTTAACACAGCCATGCAGGCAGCTAGCCACGGTACACAAGCAGCGAGCCACAGCTCTAGAGGCAGCTAGTTGCGTGCAGAGACACGGTAGCTAGCTGCAGCTGCCTGGCTAGCACCTGAAGTGGTAGCTAGCTGCAGCTAGCTGCAGCTAGCTGCAGCTAGCTACTACTTCACAGCTGGCTAGCTGCAGCTGGCTACCACTTCTCTTCTGGCTAGCTGCTTGGCTAGCTGCGCAGCTAGCTGCTTGGTCAGCTAGAGCTGCGGAAGCAACTAGCTGTGTGAGCTAGCTGCAGTTTGCTGCAGCTAGCTGCCTAGATAGCTGCCCAAGTGATTCACCTGCAGCAGCAACAAGACTGCTCGCCAAGCCCGCAGTTTATCCCATGAACAGCAATTGCTGCTGCTGCTGCTGCTGCTGTTGCTGCTGCACCCTTCCACGCAGGGAATGGGTAGGCCAGATATGCGCAAAGCCTGAGCACCAAAACGTCAATTTAGGTAGCGCTAAACCCTAAACCCTAAACCCTAAACGCTAAACCCTGAATTTTAACATGCAGCACATTAGCCTGGTTCCTGTTCCTTCTAACGTTCAAGCGCTGTTGTTGCTGCTCAGAGCAGCAGCAACCAAACTAGCAGCAGCAGCAACAACAGCATCAGTACGCACAAAAATAGCAGCAGCAGCAGCCACAAAAGCAGCAACAGCCACAAAAGCAGCAGCAGCAACAGCAGCCAGTGCATGTGTCGCTGCAGAAGCAGCTGGCAGAGCAGCGGCCGCCATAGAAGAAGGTACTGTAACTACAGCTGCAGCAGCAGCTACGAAAGCAGCCACAAAATCAGCAGCAGCAGCAGCAGCAGCAGCCCCTTGCTGCTCACCTCTGCCGCCTTCAACCGCAAAGCAATTTCCTGCGTTGGCTGCGAGCAGCCCAGCAGCACAGCAGCCCATCTGGCAGCCCACGCATTGTCAGCCCGTAGGAAGCAACAAGTGGGTGCTGTGGAGACATTTGCTGCTGCCGCTGCTGCTGCTGCTGCTGCTGCTTCTCCTGCTGCGAAAGCCGCAGCGACGCCGGTGCTGCGACTGCTAGTGGTGGTAGGGCTACTGCCATTGCTGCAGCTGCTGGTGCTGCTGGTGCTGCTGGTGTTGGGCTCCTTGGCTGTTGCTGAGGGAGCTTTGACACTGTTCATCTCCGCTGCTTCTGCCGTATCAGCTGCTGCTGCTGCATCGGCTGTTGCTGCTGTGTCTGCTGCCGCGGTTCTGGCGGCGGTGGCGGCGGAGCAGCGCAGCAGCGCTGCACCCAGGCGCATCCGAGCAGCAGCAGCAGTGGTGCTGCTGCTGCCAGCTGAGAAATGCAGTTGTTCTGCCGCCGCAGCAGCAGCAGCAGCCCGTGAGGCTGGAGATCGAGCAACAGCAGCAGCAATGGCAGCAGCAGGAGCAGCGCAGCTAACTAAGCAGCAAAGCGCGGGCTGCGCAGCAGCAAATACTGCAAGGGAGGCCAAGGCCTGGCAAGCAGCAACCTGCAGCGGGATTAGGTAGCAGAGGCGCCACAGCTGCTGGGCACTGTCTTCGCCCGACTCAGGCTCTGTTGCTGCTGCTGCTGCTGCTGCTGCTGCTGCTGCTTCGAGAGCAGCCACCGGATCGACCAGCAGCTGCATACACAAATCCCACAGGGCAGCGAAACCACTCGTGAGCTGTTCAGTGCCTTGTTCAGCAGCAGCTGGCTCCTCGATTCCTCCATTTAGCTGCTGCTGCTGCTGCTGCTGCTGCTTCTGGCTGCTGCTGCTCGCAGCTGTCGCCTCCACCAAAGCACACAAGGCTTCTTGTATGGCTTGTGGGTGCACGCCGAGAGCCAAAGCGCCTCGCAGCGCCGTAGCCACGCTGTCCAAAGCTGCTGCTGCTGCTGCTGCTGCTGCTGTTGCTTGTCTGGGCCTAAGGTGCCACTCGACAAGGAGGCGGAGTGCTACCGCCTGCAGGGCCGGGCGGCCGATGGAGGGAATAAGAGGCATTCTGCTGCTGCTGCTGATGCCTGCTGCTGCTGCTGCTGCTTCTGCTACTTGCTGACCGCTAAAGTACAGGCCCAGTGCTGCACTGCTGCCGGCAGCAGCAGCAGCCCACACAGTTTCTTTGTGTTGCTTGGGAACAGCAGCAGCGACCGCCTGCAGCACCTGCAGCAGCAGGACGCGCTCTAGGGCAGGCCGGGGGCAGGCTGCCGCCTGCTGCAGCTGCAGCACCGTCTCCAGTAGCTGCTGCAGCAGCAGCAGCTGCTGCTGCTGCTGCTGTTTAGACAAGCCGCAGACACGGGCGTCTCCCAGTCCTTCCTCCACCAGTGCTGCTGCTTCAGGGCGAGACAGCACCTCCAGCACCAGCAGCAGCAAGCCGCTGCGGCCGTTCGCGTCCCACTGCGGCGACGCTGCTGCTGCTGCTGCTGCTGCTGCTGTGACAGCCTCCAGCAGGCTGCTGGCTCCCCAGGTTTTGGCCCTTTGAATCATATAAGACGCCAGTGCCCGGGCGGCGAGGGCCCGAGCAGCAAACGAGACAGACCCGAGGCAGCAGAGAAGAGCGCGCAGCAGCAGCTGTAGCCACTCAGTCCCGCAAACAGCTGTGGTTGCTGCTGCTGCTGCTGCTGCTGCTGCTGCTGCTGCTGCCCCTGGTGGGGTCACCGGTGGCGGCTGTACAGTCCGCTTCCCCTCCTGCTGCTGCAGCGAGGTTGCCGCAGAAGCAGGTTCGTCCATCGCCAGTGCAGCTTTGCTGCTGCTGCTGCTGCTGCTGCTGTCCGTGGCAGCAGTGGCAGCAGCAGCAGCAGTGAGCAGCACCCTGACCGCCTCCACGTCGCTGCTGCTGCTCAGGAGGGCCTCAAGGGGAGGCAAGTCTGCTGCCAGCGTCGTGAGGTCTGTGCGCGTCAGCAGCAGCAGCACAGCAACTGCTGCTTCCCCCTGCAGCTTCTCTTCGGGGCCCCCAGGGGGCCCCACACTTAAGCCAGCCACCAGAGCAGCAGCACCAGGGGGCCCCCAGGCTGCGAGGCCCCTCACCAGCAGCTCTGCATTCTGTGGAATGATCAGCGCACTCCGCCGCGGCTGCTGCTGCGGCTGCTGCTGCTGCTGCGGGGGGGTGTGCATCAGGGCCAGCAGCGCCTTGGCCACGAGAGGCCGCATTTGCGGGGAAGCCAAGCTGGAGGAGTCGATCCAAAGAAGGCTGCTGCCGGCTCCCGCGCTGCTGCGCATTGCAGCGCCGCTGCAGAAGGCAAAAGTTGCAGCAGAAGCCCGCTGCGTCTGCACACAAGCAGCAGCAGCAGCAGCAGCGGGAGTCTGTCGATGTGTAGGGCGAGTGGGGAGTTCAGCTGGCACTTGGGCTGACTGGGGCAGAAAAGCACTGGCCTCCAACTGACTCATAGGCCTTACGGTATAGGGTTTAGGGTTTAGGGTTTAGGGTTTAGGGCACCTCGTCGTCTGCCCCCGCGAGCCGCTTCGTTGCTGCTACCAACAAAGAGCTGGCGGCGCTGCGCACGGGGAATTCGCTGGAGGCAGCAGCAGATATTGAGACAGTCAGAGCTGCCAGGGCCAGAGGCTGCTGCTGCTGCTGCTGCTGCTGCTGCT